ATCACAACAACTGCATCACCTTGGCTAAAGAAGAAAAATCAATAATAACAATAGCATCAAGCACAGACTAGAAAATGATGAACTGTGATAGATAAATAATAATTTGCCACCTTTAACCATATGTACAAGATTTATAGTTATATATCAAGATCCAAGACAAATCAGAAAATTATGTACAGTATATATCCACTCAATAGAGCAGTTTTACCCTGAGGAGAAATTTTAAAAGGAATAAGAGGAAAAAAAATAGAGAAATAAAAGAAGAGAAAGGGATTAGAAGGCTGAAAGACAAAGGAAGATTACCCAAGCTTTGGGAAACTGGTGACAAACACAGGAGGGAAAGAAAGAAGGAAAAAATAAATACAAGAAATCAAAAAATCTAAAAACAGGGCTCACATACATGAAAAAAGAAAAACACACAGTCCAAAGACAAAACAAAACAAATTTCTCTGATTTCAAGCCTGTAGTTATCTTCTGGAGTCTACAGTTTTGTGGTAGTGTTCAGTTCAGGGCATGACTCTGCTGTAGCTGGTAGACAAAGGAGGCAGTCAGAGACCAGATCTGTGCTGGATAATCCCAGCAATCCTGCAGCAGGATTAGGGCAGGGTGCTGATTCTGGTACTTTCAGATCCACAGAAATTTAGGCTAATCCTGGATTCTGGTCCTGGGGTTGGGTGTCTCTTGCTAGCCTGACCACAACTCCCTGACCCCGGACATCTTCCATAGTTATCCCTTATCCAGTCACTGTGGGGTTTTAACACAAGGAGCCCAGAGAGGAAGCCAACTCACAGCTGCTCTGAGTCCCAGTTCACTCGGCCCCTCCCTAAAATGGGTTCTGGCCAAGCACTGTCTCCAGGGGATACTGCAGTTGTTTGGACTGGAGTCACTCACCAGCTGTTGTAGAGCACAATATCCACTCCTTTGTTCTACTGGTGCATTTCTCCCTGGAGGCCTCTGGGGTTACCTGCCCTCACTGTGTCTCTGTTTCTCTCTCATGCCACAAATCAGGAGGTGGTTAGAAAGTACAGATTGCCCCCTCCTTTTTCTGCATTGAGATCTGTCTCAATGACAGACCTCAATGGTCTTTTCAGAGGGCTCATTTTCCCTTCAGATCCTTCCTGGGCCCCAGGGATCCACTTCCCTCCTCCTATTCTTCCCCAAGTTGTTATTTTCCACTGTCTGGATTCCAAATCTTGAATAGGTTGATTTGTTGCTGCTTATCACTTCACCATCTTCCTGGAAGTCACCCTTCAGTGGTCTTTTATAATTTTTTCCTTGAAGGACTTGCACTTTTTTTCTTAGATCTTTTGTTGTTTTGTTATTTGTTTGTTTGTTTGAGATACAGTCTTAATATGAAACCCAGGCTGAGCTTGAACTTGGGATACTCCTGCCTAAGCTTCCTGAGTGCTGAGATTGCAGGCCCCATGCTGGGCTAATTTTTTGGTTGGGTCATTGTCTAGTTTATGGTTTCTGTTATTTATTGTGACTACAGTCTCTTTTCTCCCATTATATCTTATAAGTGGGTGTTACTAGTACAGCAGTACCTTGGTTCATGAATGCTTTTGTGTGCAAACAATTTGGTTTGCAAACAGAAACAAATGTGACCTTCTATTCCAAAATCATAGAACAAATAAACTTCATGAACTGAAGTACCACTGTACGTGGAAATGCTACTGATATCTGTGTGTTAATAATTATAATAGTTTAAGAGCCAGGTGTGATAGCACACACCTGTAATCCCAGCACTCAGCAGGCTGAGGCAGGAAGATTGCTATGAGTTCGAGGCCAGCTTGGGCTACATAGTAAGTTCAAGACCAAACTGAACTACAGCAAGACCCTGTCTCAAAAAAAAAAAAAAAAAAAAAAAAAAAAAAAAAAAAAAAAAAAAAAAAAAAAAAAAAAAAAAAAAAAAAAAAAAAAAAGTAAAGCATAAGTTTTTTCTCTTTATCTCTGAGTCTTAAAAACCTTATTTATAGTCAGGCATAGTGTCACAAGATGTTATCTCAGCAGTAAGGGGGCTGAGGTAAAAGGATTATGAATTTGAGGCAAGCCTGGGCTACTTACTGGGATCCTGTGTCAAAAACAAAGAAACAAAATCCTTTATTTTTCTTGTTTTGCAGTGTTGTCTTAGATTCCCACATGATATTGACCACAGTAAAAGAGGATGTTCATGTTGTGCTTGTAATTCTAATGGGAAGGTTTTAATAATCTCACCAAGAAGTATGATACTCATTATAGAGTTGTCATTAAGACTTCATATCAAGCAAGCGTGTTAGTGTGCAACTGTAGTTACAACCTCTCAGGAGGATGAAGCAGAGGATGGATCCCTTGGGTCCATGAGTTTGGGGTGAGCCTGGGTAACATAGCAAAACCTTGTCTCTTATTTAAAAAAAAAAAAAAGGGCTGGGGATTTAGCTCTTGGTGCTACCACCTGCCTGGCAAGTGCAAGGTCCTGAGTTTGATCCCTGGTACAAAAAAAAAAAAAAAAAAAAAAAAAACACACACATTAAAAGAAAGCCAGACTTTACTAGGTTTTTATTTTAGTTGTAATTTAGTGTTAAATCTTAGTAAATACTTCTTCTCTGTCTGATTTTTGTCCTTTAATGTGGTGTGTTTTACTAGTATATTCTGATGTTTAACCCTGTTTGCCGGGCAAGTCCTTCTTGCTCATAGATAGTGTATACACCTGTATGTGTTTTTCAGTACACTGCTGGACTCAGTCTGCTCATATTTGCCTAGGGTTATTATTTAGGATGTGTGTGTGTGTGTGTGTGTGTGTTTATAAGAAAGATTGATCTCAGTTGTTTTGTTGTGCTGTTCTTTTCTAGTTGTGTTTCAGAATCCTATCACAGCCTCATAGGATCAGATGGGTAGCTTCCCCCTTCCCTTCTTGTCTCTGAGAAGGCTTCATGGGGTATGGATAATCTGTCGCCAGTTGGTCAGATAACACTTGCCTGAGAAACAGTTTAGGCCTTTACAGAGTCCCTTGTCTGAAATATTGGGTCCCGAAGTGTTTCAGATTTGGAAGGTTTTTGGATTTTGGGATATCTGCATGGACTTTACTGATTGAGCAACCCTGCCCTGAAAATCAAAAATCTGAAATGTTCCAAAATCTAAAACAGTAGAATGGCACTTCAGAGCATTTTAGAATTTTGATCCAGGGATGCTCAGCTTGAATATTTTTTGAGAAATGGGGAGTTTGGGCAGACGAAGCACTTAGTAGTGCTTTAATTTATTTATTTTTTAAAAATTCCTTCTTGCCAGGCGTGGTGGTGCATACCCGTAATCCCAGCACTCTGGAGACTGAGACAGGAGAATCACAGTGAGTGTGAGGCCAGCCTGGGCTATATAGTGAGTTCAAGACCAACCTGAACTACACAGTGAGACCCTGTCTCAACAGCAACAACAAAACTCCTCCTTGAGTCAATTTTGACAGTATATGTGGTCTTTACAAATTGTTTTAGTTTATCTGAATTTATATCTTTTGGCATTGTCTTAGTTGCTTTCCTCATTGCTGGGACAAAAATACCCGACACCCAAACTTAAAGGAGGAAAGGTTTATTTGGCTCGCAGTCTGAGGAGGTTTCAGTCCATAGTCGGCTGACTCCAAGGCAGGGTGGCGTGGCAGAGGGGGCATCATGGAGAAGAAACAGTCCCTGGCATGGCAGGCATGGGGGAGAGCAAAGCCACAAGAGCTTGCCTTTCCCTTTTATCCCAGACAGGCTACAAACCTATTGCCTGGTGCCGCGCATACCCAGGGTTGCCTCCATTGTCCACTCACTTAATCCCAGTACCACACCCTTAATCACATCCACACCTGGCCCAGCCACCTTTGAGACTCCCCGCCTCTGACCCGTGAGTCTTGGGGGCATCTGTTGCTGTTAGTATTATACTTCACTAGGGCTAGGAATAGAGCTGGGGGGTAGGACATTTGCCTAGCAATGTGCAAGACCCTGGCTTTGATCCCTAGCACAGTTTAAAAAGAAAAAAATTTAAGTCTCTTAAATTTCTTCTTCTGCAGTTGCATCCCCTTCAGAGAGTTCTAAATACTGGCCCAGAATTATGCCCTGTCTCAAATTTACTTTTGTTTGGGTTTCTGTGATGTGATAGAATAATGTCAAAGAATTTAAATATGTGGGCTGGGGATTTAGCTCAGTGGTTCCACCATCTGCCTCTCAAGCACAAGGATTGGAGTTCAGTCTCTGGTACCAAAAAAAGTCCTAGCATGTTTACTGTATAATAGGGTTGAGATCCTTTTGCTTGATTATAAATACAAACATTCGTTGTTCCAATAACTGAAATACACACACACACACACACACACACACACACACACACATAACAGTATAATGAAGATTAAAAACAATCACTTAATACTTTGGTGTATGAGCAATTCTCTCCTATTCATAGGTATTGTATCTATCAATAAATTATAAAAAGTAAGTTTGAGATAATACTGCACACACATTTTTTCTCACTGAGTATGTTACAGGATAACATCCCTGACCTGACCACTGAGAATCCACAGTGTTACAAAACCTGAAGCTTTAAGTGTCGCATTAGCACTTGTGACACAAGTAAGGACACAGCGTGTATCAGATCTCAAGTTTGATCCCCAGCACCACACACGAACTTCGTGGATTAGGGTTGCCTAACTGGTTAAGTCCATTAAAGTATTCCAGAATCCAGCAGACACCCACATCTGAAGCTCCTGTAGTCCCACACGTATCAGATAAAGGACACTCACCCTGTAAAGTCATCTGCCTGCATCATGCAAGATTTGAAATTTTAAATAGTTGAACAATATTCTCCTATTTCTCTGTAAGGTTTTTTTAGCAAATACCTTCATATTTTGAACCTTTGGGCCTTGAGTGGTGAATCTTTGACTCTTTGGTGATTTCTTATGCTGGATTCTCAGAAGTACATTTCAGGGGCAGAGGTTGTATGTGCTTTCGGGGACTTCCGGGCTGACAAGTCGGCATCTGCTCCTCTCTCTGCAGCAGCCCACACACCCCGTATACAACATTGGACCAGACAAGGTGATCCAGGCCACCACGCACTTCCTGCAGAAGCCGGTCCCTGGCTTCAAGGAGCCTGAAGATGAGGGGACAGCAGAGACTCCACGTGACTAGAGGGTGCATGCCGAGCTCTGTGCTCCCCACCTCCCCACTCAGACAAGGCTTTATGTTTCGGTACATAGTGCATCTGTGCTCCACAAGCCTTAGCCACTGTGGAGCTGTGGCTTTCTTCATCCTCCCTGTTAAAACAAAGCCACTGGCTCTAGCTTTGGAGGAAACAGTGGCGTGGATTTTAAACTTCTTTTCATCCCTATCAAACCAAAACCTGTCCACACGCCTGTGCAGTGAGGTGGGGAGCAGCCCCTCCCGCCAGCCCTCCAGCCTGGATGGTCACACAGAAACAGATGGTGTCTTGAGTGTCACAGCATGCAAGGCCACTGCTGTGACTCCCATCTGCACGGCAGTGTTAAGTCACCAGGGGAGACCCCCCTCCCAGGGTGGAAATCAGGCTGCTTCATCCCATGGTGTGGGGCCTTGGTGCCCATAAAGGCTACGTTGGGGCTGATTTAGGAAGTGCTTCTGCCTCTCACCTTCCACCCTAGTCCTTTGCAAGAGATAGGAGCTGGGGATGGAGGGGCAGATGTCTCCTTGAGTTGAGAATCATTCCCCTGCAGACTGGAGATCTGAGCCAGGTGCCTCTCTAAACCTGAGCTTGGGCACAGGCAAGATTTGCTTCAGCCCAGGTGTGGTGACTTAGACCCAGGAGAGCAAGTATGAGTAGAAATGTACCTCTGGTTCCACTCTGTGCCAGAGGAGGCAGCCCCCATGCCCAGCCCTGCCCTCTGTGTACCAGTGAATGTCCTCCGATGTCCTCAGGGCAGCGCCTGCAACCAGGGCCCTTCTGCGTGTTTCCATCTTTCTCTCGCCAGATTCTCAGAACACCTTCCTCCAAGCAGTGTTGTCTTTCACACCCAGAGTATTAACACTACTAAGTCTTTCACCTTAATTTATGACTCAGGATTCATTCTCATCCTGCCCACTCTAGACTCAGAGATGTCAAATCAAGTGCTAGACCAGCCAGCTGCCGGGGGCAGTGTCTGGACGTGCTGTGGCCTCCGCTGCCTCCTGCACTGAGCCCTTGCATGGTCAGGGGGGTGCTGAGCTTGGTCATCGTACACGGCTGCGGCAAGTTCCACGTCACTGTCCCTGCCTTCATGTGAGCACCGTGGACTGCAGGCAGACGGGCGCTCAGAGGTGCAGCATGAGGCTCTTTTCAAAACAACTGGCCACTCGCTGCCTCGAACTCCCTCTTGCTTTGGCGCACTGGCCTATGTGTTACCTCCTTGAAATAATAAAAGAATAACATTTTCTATGATGCCTCATTGGTTTTGTTTTTGTTTGTAGTACTGAGAATTGAACCCAGCACCTGGGCATTCTACGATGTCTTACGTGATCGCTTTCAGAAAGCGCAATACGGGAGTTATTGGGGTGGCCCGTAGGGTTGCTGGTCTCCAGTGCATGAGATTCCAGGGTAGGACATGGGTTCCGTCTCGCCTGCTGCCTTCACCAGCCCAGGAAGAAGTGGGCCCCCGAGCAGTATCGCTTTGCCAACTCCCTGGCACAGTTCAGTTTACTTTGCTCCCCAAGCCGCATTTCCTTCCCTTCGTCCATCTCCAGATACCCAGCACAGGCACTGTGTCATGGTGGGCAGGTTGATGCAGGGACAGGCCAGATCCTGTGGCCGCCAAATTTCCCAGATCTTTTACCCTGTCCCCAGGAAGGGCAGGAAGGTTGGGGCTTGCTCTATGGCTGCCCTGGGAGAGAGTAGAGGGTGTCCTCGGAGGATACACACATCCACACAGCCCAACCACATCTCACATCCAGGAATGTAATTCCTGCCCCCCGTGCTATTTTTGCTCTGCTAACAAAGGTTGGGCTGCAAAACAACATTCTGCAATGCATCCTTCCCCTCACCGTAACGAAAAGCAAAATGCTTTCTGCACAGAGCCTCTGGGTCCTGTGAGATAAACTGCAATCTTAATTGGCGTGATTAAGTAGCAGGCACTGCTGAGGCTGAGCTGGCTTCATCCCAAGTGACTGGACCCAGGAGATAAAGCTGGGCTGGACAGGAGAGAGGGCCGAATCCTGGCTGTGCTGTCGGTGTTGGGGCTGGCATTTCCACGAGGCCGCCTGGTCGGGAGGGCTTCTCCACTCAGCCTTCAGGCGGGACCCAGAGGTCAGTTCCCGCATTTCTCCACAGACCCTTCAGAAGACACTGGTACCGCTTTCAAGGTGGGTCACCCCCAATTAGTCTTTTCCCTGTCAATTAACACAAAGCTACCACACATCCCTAAGTCTGGATGGCTCCAATATTCTTATTCCCACCTCTGGTGCCTTAGAAGTTGGGATCCTACCAGCCCCTCTTGCAGAAGCCAGCATGGACTCCCCCAGATGACAGTGCTGGTAAGTGGTATTCCTGAGCTGTCTTCTCTGTCCGACACCATTTCTGAGGTGGGAACCACAGGCCGGAGTGTAGCAATAGCCCGTGAGAAGACACAACACAAAACCAAGCTGAAAGATGGCCATCCCTGTTCGCTGCTGCTCTTAGGAATCCTTCCCAGATCTGCTCCACCCCTGCAGCTCAGGGTTGGGCCAGTGAGCTCTCTCTGTAGCAGTGGATGCAGAACCTCAGGAAGACCACACCATGGGCCGTTTCCAGAGCCACTGGTCTGGGGCTGGATTCAGTCCAGCATGTGCGGTGCTAACACAGGCCCAGGACCACTTGGTGGCCACACAAAGCTCCCACAGCTGCTCCTAGAAAGAAAGCAGCACAGGTGCCCTGCACCAGGAAAGTACCAACACACCTGGGTGTGGGGCAGTGCCCTCCTACAGTCCTGACTCCTTGAGAGGCTGAGGCAAGATCACAAGTTCAAGTCCCACTTGGGTAATTTAGCAAACAGAGGTGTAGCACAGCACAAAAGTGTCCTTGCCTTCAACTCCCAGTACTACAAAAAGTAAGAAAAGAGGACCAGCCCAAATCAAGGAGCTCAACAGAAGCAGGTTTCCTTGAGCGTGGCCTTCACTTCAGGATCCACCGAATTCCCAGCGAGCTTCTGCCATCTCCCCAGAAGGCTTTCTTGAGTCTGTGTGTGAGACCCGAAGAGCCAGTTATATTTTTTCTCCCCTCTTCTTCTCCTCCCACCCCTCCTCATTCTCTTCCCTTCTTTTGGTACCAAGGATTGAACTCAGGACCTCACGCTTGCAAGGCAGGCATGGCCCCACTAAGCCTTTTTTTTTTTTTTTTTTTAATCCTTTGAGACAGGATTTCATTACCTAGCACAGACCGGCCTCAAACTTGAGGTCTCCTGCCTCGGCCTCCCAAGTGCTGGAATTATAGGTGTGCACCATCACCCCTCTCTATTCTTGTCTTTGATCCCACCGAAGCACAAAGCACAGTCACCCTTTCCCAAGCAGCTCTGTGGGCAACACAGCAATGTCCTTTAAGAAGCCACCTCTTAGGAAGACCTCATCTGAGAGCAGAGCTGTAACACAGCCAAGAAGCAGGCCTCCCCGAGGGCCAGCCTGTGTCTTGCTGTGCTGCTGCTCCTGGTGATTTGACATAGCAGATACATGAAGTTTAGAAAACTCTTAAGGTCACGACTGATAACGTACCCCTTACACTATTTCACCCGTATTAACTGTATACAGTGAGTTCCCAACTTAGGAACAAGTTGCAGGCCTTCAGAGGTACGCTGTATACGACTCACTTTGTCAGATACAAACCCGTTTGACTTACAAACAACTCTCCAGGAACCGAACTCGTTTGTAAGTCGGGAACTTACTGTACACTGTCCTTCAGCACGAGTTTCATAGCCAGGAATTAAAAATGGAGCTGTATGGGGCAGAGATGTGGCTCAGTGGTAAGAGTCCTTGCCGAAAACGTGGAAAGGCCTGGGTTCAATCCCCAGGACCATAAAAAACTGTTGGGGAGGGGAAGCTGGTTACCTTGAGCACGCTGTAGTTACAGCCAGAGTGGAAGCCATTGGCTTTACATGTGAGACTTGCAGATGATAATGCTGACATTCCACTAGGAAAACTGGCCAGGCATGGTGGTGCACGCCTGTAATCCCTGTACTTAGAAGGCTGAGGCAGGAGGATTGTGCCAGCCTGGGCTACATAGTGAGACACTCAGAAAACACCAAAGCCTTCAAATTAAAGAACTTGTCTGTCAGTCCGCTATGTTTACATTGACTCCACTTCCTGCCGGGAGTGGGTCATCCCAGCGGTTCAGCACCGACTCCTGAAAGGGGAAGAACCTCGGGTAGGAAATTGGTGTGCTTGTCCCTGCAGGCGCTCTGGGACCCCTGTGGCCCTGCAGAGACAGTCCCTCCTGGACGGCACAGCACAGCACAGCTCCTGTTCACCTCTCCTAACGCCGAGAGCCATGCGGTATTAGTGGGTCACAGGTCTATCTTGAAGGTCTGCTCAGTGCTGCCCACTTGGGGGACACGGACTCGCTGGGGGTGGTACTTTCCTGGTGTTTTGCTCATCCACCATCTACACCTGGGGGCGGCACACTTGTGGGGGGAAGGCCAGATGATGCTAGTTCCAGCTTTTCGGGTTGCACGGTCTCTGCTCCTATGTGCCACGCACAAAACCGCAGAAGCGTGGCTGTGCCCTGTGGGCTGTGATGAACACAGGTGGGGGCTGTAGTCTGCTCACCCCGATCCAGCTGGAATCTCATCTGTATTCACTCAGCATTCTCCCATGTCTTTCGCGTCTGGGATGCATTCCATTAATATTAGGTCAAATGACAGATGTGCTCGGTAAAGCCGGGGCCAAACCTTCTGGTCACCCACATGCCCAGCTCAGCGGCGCTCACTGCCTTGAATGTGGCAGGAGAAGAGGATGAGTGAAGACACCGTTTAGGATGGCAGAAAACCAGGCCCAGCTGGCTCAAAGCAAAGAGGAAGCAAATGTCTTGACTCCAGATGGGAATAGTACAGGGCTGAAGCTGTCAGCATAGCGGCCTCAGTGGGTTTCTGCCCCCACCTCAGGCTCTCTCCACCGGGCAAGAGGGCAGTGCCAGCAGCTCCAGACCCGACAGCCCATTGGCACTGAGTTCAGGAGACGAGAGCTCCCAGACATCCCAGCCTTGGAGGCCAGGTGAGGATACTGTGTTTCACAGGCTTTGAGCAAATGAAACGCCTCTCTGGCAAACAAGCCCAGCCAGAATACCGTGTGCTGGTCGCTTACATCTTGGTCACACTTTCCCTCTGGTGGGGAGTGAGGCTTCATCAGAAGCACTGTCTCGAGGGCTGGGGAAGGAAAAAAAAACCCAAATGCGAGTTAGGGAGGAAGCCAAAGGGGAAAAGGGTGCTAGAGAGGCAGGCGCGGTGGCTCTCAGCTGATCCTAGCTGTGATACAAAACGGTGGCAGACAAGGGTGACATCCATTCTATCCCAGAGTCAGTCTCTTTAACCTGTTTCTTTGCTTCAGTAAGTTTTTCAGGTTTGGTAGCAATTCATGTGGAAGCCAGTCAGCATGGCTTGTTGTGGCCTCAGTGATGGACTCAGAGCCAAGAATGTGACTTAAACCGGGCCGAGGCAGGAGGATCGTAAGGTGGAGCCCAGCCTGGGCAACTTAGTGACTTAGCAAGACCCTGTCTCAAAATAAAAGATAAAAAGTGCTGGGGCTGTAGCTCAGTGTAAAGGGTCCCCATTTGATCCCCAGAACCAAAATAAACCACGACTTAAAATAGCCTAACGAAGGGGAAGTCATGGACGTGCGATGGCAGGGAAAAGCAGCTTTGTTGACGTGTGGAATGGGAGCCTGGGAGCCTGTGACCACCTGAAAGGAGGTCAGCCAGAGAAGGGAGCTGGCACAGAGGCCTGGGACTCATTCCTGCGGCCTACCTGCCTCTGGATTCTCAGTTATTTGGGCCAGTCTGAGTTGGCTTTACTGTCGTAGGTGGACCTTGCCTTGCAATTTTTCAGCTTCACAGCGGTACAAATGTAAAGTGCATTCGGCAGCTACTGTACGCCTATGTTGCACAGGTCAGATGTATCACATGTATTTACGATGTTTGCAATTTCGCTTGCTGTCCGTGGAAGCGCATCCGTGCTTGGAGCTGAAAGCCCCCTGAAACGTACAGAGCTACTCCAGATCAGCGCAAGGCCACCATGGCACTTACCTGGTGGACACCCTCAGCACAGCTCCCAAACAGCAGCCTGTCATGCCTGGTCTACTCCCTCTCCTCACTTGACCTCGGCTCAGCTCCCCCAGGTGGACAACCTGTGGTTTACAACTGGAGGGACCGGTCGGACAGCTACGTGCGTCACCCCAGGTCT